TGATGGAGTTAGACTCTCCTCTGAGGTGTCTGAGTGACACCTCTTTCCAGCTTAACTCAAGTCAGTGGGACTTTAGGACTTCTAAACTCATAGTGAGTTTAGTGTTAAGTTTTTGGTGCTTTTTATACATGCTTTGGTCAGATAAAGGCGTGACAATCCCCACTTGGTATATACTGAGCGATCAGAAGAGGGCAGTCCTTCCCCTCGGTACTCGCTCTACTTTATGCTTGAATTAATAGTCTCAAAGCCACAAGTTGATGCTGCAGCCTTGTGCTGATATGGTTACATTGGTCAGGGATGTGGATAGAGGCAACCCCTGAATGACATCGCTGCGCTGGAGTAGGGCCCACCGCCAACACAATTCTATCAACAAAGCTGCACTTCAACCTTACTTGCTATTTTAACTGCAGAGCTGCAAGTATGGAATAACTGCGAGGATTACGGTAGTCCTCAGCCCCCTCCCAGATCATCACACAAAACGGACACAGAGCAATAGACCATTTGAGCCTCATGATGAAAATTAATTCGTTACTTCTGCGGTTAAAGGAGGCACATTAAAGACACAAATTTTCTCTCCTGAGCCTAAATTGCCAGCCTCGGTTCAGGTCCTGTGTCCTTCTCCCCTTCCACCAAGACAGTTAAGGAGCTCAGCCACTAGAGAAGAAATATAAGAAACGTGATGTCAGGGAAGATGATTCAGAAGGGCAGATGTAGGGTGCTGTAGATGATCTCTGGAAGAAAGCTGCCAGTTATGAGGATGATGTGGGCAAGGGTCATGTGTGTCTGCCCCAGAGCTGAGAGCTGTGACCACAGCACATATAACCCCACCTGGTTTTAATGCAACTAATACAACTGAACGCAGTGGAGTAGAGGAAGGGGTTTACCCTGATTCCCAGCAGAAAAGTAGATCTATTAGGGGATGAAGGCACCAAAAAGGCTGTGGCCTCCCCCTGCGAAGGCCGCTCTGTGTGGTACCTGTGGTCCCTGCCCCAAGGGGTAAGGCAGGAGCTGGGCAGCCTTTCCTTTACAGGGCACTTGCTTCTGGCCCCACCACGGTGGCCAGATTTGCTCCAGTACAGGTAAATCTGTGCAAACTGCAACCTTATATTCTAGTAGCTCTGTGGCTGTATTAATGGGGCACGAATGCAGAGGGAGGAGAGGGTCATTGGTCAGGATAAGTAAAGTAGCGTGGGGCAGTGTTGAAGGTGGACTGAAGAAACTGAAAATTGATGGAAGCGGGGGAAGAGCCAGAAAGGCAAGATGAAACACCACCTGGTTAGACCATCTCAGGTTTTGTCACCACGTCCGTGGCTGTTCAGGAGCTCAGCAGAGTAGAAGCAACTGAAGATCTGAGGTCAAACGGGTCACCAGCCTAAAAAGCAGGTCAAAAGCAGAGAAAGTAAAACATAAATTAAAAAGCAGCAAATGCCAGACCTGTTAGTCTACAATGACAGTTATATGAATCACTGACAAAGGAATTCATCAGAACTAGGGAGGGACCTGTATCCATGCACGCCAAAGCTCCCTGACTGGGAAGACCTACAGACGCGTATGGATATATGTTTAAGCAAAGTCATCGTTAATCAAGACAGAATTAACAGTGCCACAAAATGTCCCCAGGAGCTGGAGCTTTGTCATCTACACCATTAAATTGTTAGCACAATCCCAGGCATAGCTCTGGATCCGGTCAGCTAGCATTTTCCCAAACAATTGCTGGACACAGTGTGGGAATTAGCACACTATTCCCAAAACACAGTCTGCATGTGAATGTTGGTTTGGATGGTAAAACACTTTAATAGCATGGATATGGGCTGTTCCCATGTGAGCTGGGGAATAGTCTGGACACATTTGATTGCAAAAAAGCTACATGAGAAATTTCAAGCAGGAGAAATTTCAAGAGGAGTGTTCTACTTTAAAAGGTAGAACAAAATTACTGGGCAGAAGTAGAATAAAAATAATGGAAACAGGGTAAAGGTAATTAGCAGTGTTGTTGCTACAAAGATGTAAAAGGGGCAAGGTTTGTGGAGAGAAGTAATATCTTTTAGTGGAATTGGTCTAATAAAAGATATTCTTTTTCTTCAAAAACCTTGCCTGGAGGTAACGATCATCTTTACTGCCTAGTTCCTGCTATAGTCTCATAATGTAAATGAGAAGAGTCATTAGGGTCATCCCTCTATATGAGGCTTAGTCTAAACATAGTTAAACCTCAGCACTTTTTAACAGAAATAAAAGAGAAGAAGGTGAAGATGCCAGTTTTTATCAAGCCACAGAAACTTTCTTACTGAGAGATGGCTTGTCTGCTAGTCTGTAGTGTAAAAATTTCTGAGATTGGAGGTAGATAAATGACTGTTTAAATAATCCTTTGTTCAGCAGCTGTATATATATAGCTACTTTATCAGTGTATTTATGGGAGTGACAGTGTAGGTGTTGAGGCAGCACTACAGAGGGAAGGAAAAGAGCCCTGGATCTAGGTGAGTAGAACAGAGAAGTGATTTTTTTTTTTAATTTACATTAAGCATCAGTGATACAAAAAACAAGAACACCGAGTCCAGCTCTGGTGATGTTGCTTTAAGTAGGATATTTGAAAAACTGGAAATGTTACAGAAGGGAGAGACAAAATTATCTCAAGGATGGGAAACAAAAGTCTTCTGTTTAATTTATCAGACAGACTCAGTTACAATCAGGAAGGTTTATCATGAGAAAAATGAAACAGGAAGTATCTGACTCTGTGATTTACAAAGAGAGACAGAACCGGCAGCAAGCGATCAAAAGTCCAGGAAAACTCAAATGGGAAATACAGCATGGGTTTAGGAGAGTGGAAGTGATTTAAGAAAAATCACCTTGATATATACCTTCAAACTACACTCGGATGACTTTTGGGAGATGCATTTTACTTCAGCACAAACCGCTGGCTTCCTCTGAAGAGGAACCCCAGTAGAATGCAATGGCCTGTATATGCAGGAAATCTGCTATTATAATCAAATAGTCTCCTGTCGTATTAACAATTTCTGAATGAATTCGCGCCCTGTAGCGAGTGAGCTGTGAAACTGCCTGAGGCTGCTCCTGTACAGCCAAAAGAGAGAGAGCAGAGCTGTGACAGTTGGCTTTAAGGGGTTGAGGAATGCCAAGGGCTCCCAGTTGTTCTCTTGGCAACAGCAAAGCAACAACATCATGTGCGCCAAAAGAAACTCTTCTGCGCTGAGGACCAAATATGGTGATAAAAGTCCTCAGGAGGAAGAAGAAATGACTGCTTCTCTTGTTCTATAGCACAGGCTGGTTGCATGAATTAGCTGTAAATCTAACAGTCGCTTGGTGGCTATGTAGTAGCATGAGATGAAGAACAGGCTTGGGAAAGCAGGGTCCCATGCTGCATGGGATTGCTGTCCATGTAGATCAGACATAAAGCACCCCTGTTGTCTTAGGACAAGACAAGTTTGCATCATCACGACATGCTGTAGCATGACAGATCACTACGGGATGCTGCTGCCCACCTGTACGAGGCTGGGGTTGTGTTAAGGCATGAATCCTGGTACAGACCTCCTCTCCATGACGATGTGTAGCTTTAAAAAGCTTTGGAGGATCGGAGTCTGGATTTGAGAATGAATGTAACTGATATGAAGGGGCTGCTGGGAGAAAACACTGGTGCAAAAGTAGTGGGTGTGCGCTCTAGAAATGAAAGGTCTCCCTCCCATTAAAAATTGTTGCTGGGAGTTTCAGACCCTGCAGCCCTGCCAAATCCCATTCCCTGGGGTGGAGGTTTTTCTCTTCTGGGACTAATTACAACACAGCTTTCAAGACAGTTGTTCTTTCACAAGGAACTGTTATGCAGTATATTTCAGCAAGGTGTTAACTGTTCATTAGATACATTGGGCAAGATCCTCAACCAGCCTAAAATAACATGGGTTTACAGCAATATTGATTTATGCTATTCGGGTATGAAGTCCGGCATTTTTAAATGCCTTCAATTTGGGCTATTTTTAGGCAGGTACAAAGTCATGACCTTGCACGTCATTTTAGCAGTCTCCTTTGTTTATAGGTGCAGCACCACATTATTCAGAAATGTTTCAAAGCCATCACAGTCATGCTGACGGGGGGGGGAAAGCAGCAGAATATGCCCTTCGTGACAGGCCTCAAAATCATGATTAGAAGAGGAGGTTTTGATTAAGTGGGTTTATATACTGTTACGGTTACTATAGCAACTCTGCTTCTTTTAACTGCACAGTGCTCCTCTGTACATCTAACAATTTAAATCACGTTAAGTGCCAGGAGAAGATTAACACTGGAAAACACCTCAGAGTTTGGGCGGGAGAGGAGACGGACGGGGTCTCAGGTGAGGAGAGCGGTCGTGTTTCACACCGCCGTACCTTCCCGCTCCCAAACGCTGTGAAAGCTTAGCTGGGGAAGAGGAACATTTCTATGAAGAAGGTGAGTCCAGTGTGAGGACAAACAGCCCGGCGTTGTTATGAAAAGTGACGCTTTCTCAGACCGCAGCTCTTTCCTGGGCCTGGCAGTTTTCGCGCTGGCCTGCAGCATGAGCTGCCTCGCCGCCTAGCTGCCAATGGAGGGGAATCTAACCCTGTGGCCCCTGCCACTGGGAACCGGCGTCCATCTTGCTTCAAATAACTCTACTCGGGGGGGGAACCCCCTCTCCCCGCCACCTTCCTCCTGCTTCGCCTTTCCCGCCCAGCCGCCCTCCCCGCCGCCATGTTGCCTCCCCGTCCCCTCAGGCGACACCCTCCGCCCCGCCCCCTTCCTGGAGCCCCGCCCCTCCACGCCGATTCGCCATCGCGCCTGGCCTAATTAACATATAACAGGCCGCGCCCGGCCAGCGTTTACCACTCCGCCTAGAGCGGAGAGCCGCGGGGGAGAAGGCTCGTTGGCCGAGCGCCGCCGCCGGCTTCCTTTTCATTGGCTGGGCCCGGTTGTCAGTCATGGGGAACACCCCGCCCTCCGGAGTGTCCCTCCCTGGCGCCTCCTTGTTCGCTCCATTCAGTGGCGGGTTTCCGAGGCGGACGGAGCTCCGGCGGATGGGAGCTGCTGTTGCACAATAGAAACAGGTCCTCGGCCAGCATCACGCAGAGGGCAGCAGCCGCAGGAGGAGGTAGATCCCGTTCTGGTAACAATTTTACAATTGCAATGGCGTACGAAAGGCCTCTGTCTCTTTACAAACCCGTATCTTGAGGGCGTTTTCTCCACAGCCTCGACCCTCGCTGCCTTTCCCCCTCCAGTGCCTCCTCCCTTCTGAAACCTCTCCCCTGCCGCCTGCGTGTTGCCAGGGTGAGGAGAGGGCGTTCGCTTCGTCCCCCTGGCCACCGAGCTGTAGCCGGAGGTCTGCGGTAGGCAGGACCGGGCCGGGACCGGGAGGGCCGGGGCGTAGGGCCGGCCCCGTCCCGCCGTGAGGGGGTCCGAGGCCCACCCGGGAACGGGAAAGGAGGGGATGGAGGGAGCTCGGTGTCCCTGGGGCCGACCGAAGTCGTTCCTCCCCCGTTTGTTGGGAGGCCCCGAGGCTCGGCCTGCTGCGGGGAGCCCCCCTGCTTCCACCCCGGGGGGCAGCGGAGGCCGCCCGCCCGCTGCAGCCCGCTGCCCTCGGCCCGGCGGCAGGTGGAAACCACTAAAAGCGGCTGTTTTGCTTCGGAGGAAACAGGACGTGCGCTGCCAAAGGCCGTGCAGCGGTACGTGTTTACCAGCTGTCAAAATGGGTGAGAAATTCAGCTGCCACCCTTCGAGAACGACACCCCCCCCCCCTTCACTGGTGGCAGCTCCTGGGGTCAAGGCCGGGAGGATGCTCCCCCAAACTTGCCAAATTCAGGCTACAGCTGCTTCTGCAGCTCCTCGGCGTTGGCTGACGTTGCCCCCTCATGCCGGCTTTCAGCCCGCGGTGAACTTTTATGGCGCGGCCCTAAAAGCCAGAGAGCAAAAGTTGGGAAGCGGCAGAGCGTTGGGAGAGGAAACGCTGTCAGGCTGCCCGGTGGTTTTTAGAGCTGGTCTCTGCGGTCCGTGGGCTTTTGCCTCTCTGCTCTGTGTTAAAAGAAGCGGCGGTGGCTGTTCAAAATGCCACCGTCGCAGGTCCCGCGTTCCTCTTGGCCTCGCTGCAGCGTAACGTTATAAACGGTATTAGACAAGTGCTGGTCTCTGAGCAACTTGGTGTGTTACGTCACGGCACGAATCTCTTAACTAATTGAAGAAACGGGAAAACTTGCAGCGTGTTGTTAAAGGGCTGGTAAAAAAGGACGATCTTGCAGCCAAGCGAGCTACTAATTATTTGGTATCTTTGTGTTCTTCGTTCCAAAAAGTTAGTAGTGAACAGCAAAGGGAAATTTTCTAGGTATGTGTGTAAACACGTGGGTAATAGAAAGAGCTAGGCAGAATAGCAAACTCTGCGAGTAATCCGTGTGTGTGTGCAGCCAGCAGTGTCTAACGTGATGTTGGCTCTACTAGACGTGGTAAGGTCTGCAGAAATTTAGACTGAGCAGGTATTTTTAAGAGAAAGTGTGTATTACAGTCCCAGGACAAAACTTCTGATAATCCTGTGCGGTAGCGTTACAAGTCAGCAGTGTCAGTACAGACAAGATTTGAAGCTTTTTCTTCTGCAAACTGAGAAAGAAGCTGTCAAAAAAATGCATGGTGGTGTGCCATGCTTGAGTGAGTACTAATTGGATGTTCATCTTTACTACTGGTGGGAGCACCTTTACTGCAACAGAAGGAGCACTTTGCTGTTACTAGGGCTGGTAACTAATTGTGTATGGATAGTTTTTCAGATTCTTCTGTAATTTAAGCAGGATTTTTTTTTAAAGCCCTAACTGTAGTGCACACCAAGGTTTATAAGTGGTTGGCAGGCTTATACTTCACCTGATTGGCACTGAATTAGCAAGCAGCTCAGTTTCTCTGTGCTTATTGCTGAGCTGTTCTCCCAGGAAGAATTCCCTTTTGTAAGTGTGTAGCAGTTGTTGAGAACATTCTCATTACTCTCGCAACTTATATCCAAAAAAATCTGTATCTTTGAACTCAAGAAAACAGCTCTAATACAGAGATGTGCCAGTTCTCCAGAATAAAGCAACAGTGGCTTTCTCTTTATTTCTGCAATCTTTCTGAGGATTCTGCAGGATAAGGCCTTTGTCCCGCACATGTAGATGTGCTTACCTTTACTACCGGTAGCCCTCCCAGTTAGACAAATGAAATAAAATAAAAAATGTGAATACATTTTCTTGTCAGATTAGGCCCAAAATACTGCTGCTGCAGTTTCCACAGTACAAGATAATGGACTTTCTGATGCTTAAGAAAAATATTTAGGTCAGATCCATTAATATATAAAAAAATAGCTCTCTGATGTTGTGTGGTAAGAGCTTTTATGAACCAAGGCTCCAATACCAAACAATTTAGTCTTACTTTCTAGTTATGCTGCAAGAAGTTTTCTAATATTGTAAGTTAAAGTAATTCAGAGAACATACGCTCTTTTTACAAAGGTGTTCCGACATTATTCTCATTTGAATTTGCCAAAGTGTGCTTTATTTGCTGAATGTTTCAAGCCTCAAGTTGTGAACTTACTTACCCTACTTAAGTACTTTATATCTAACTTTTCTCCTTGTTGAATTGGTTGCCTTAGAATAAGAGGGAAGAAAAGTAGTTTCAAGATCTGCTTCCAAAATGATAACGCTCACCACTGCTGAACATTTTATTAGTAACACCCGCCCATACGATTGTTCCTTTTACTTTGCAGATCTCAAGGTACCTTAGAAATGTCCTTTAAAATGATGGCTCAGGACTTTGCTGGAAGGAACCTGAAATGGTATTACCACCATTTTCTGCTAACTTCCCCCAACAGCATCTGGTCAGCTCGGGGAGTCAGAGGTGCTGAGTTGCTGTGCAGAACTGCGTTGCCCAGCCTCGTCTCTCCGCTCCTTCCTCCGCACATGTACGCGCTGGGGTGGTCCCCTTGTAAAATGGAAGTGTCCCCTTTCCCCCTTGATCTGCAAAGCACCTGCTGCAGTGCTGCAGGTGGTGGGTGCAGGGAAAGCTGCTTTCTTTAAGCAAAAGTCTCATTAGGAGACACATTTATAGTTAATACTTGCGTAATGTAATAATTCTAGACTGCTTTATCATTACTGAAGTGATGAAGCCAGCTAGTGTGTGCCTGGTTTGTGTCACGCTGAGGTAGGCAAGGCTCGTCTGTTTATTAAAAAAAAAAAAAAGGTAATAGAGTGCAATGGTGCATCCACACCAGGCTGGGGATAGTGCAGACTCACGGTATAGATTGCGCTGGGTATATAAGAGAAAATGTTTGTTGGCCCTAGAGCAGTGCTGCTTAAAAAAACACAACCATTTTGGGCCAGAAGGATTGGAAACCTTGTGAGGCCTGTATGGTCTTGAATTAATAATTCCAGCTTGTGTTATCAAAAACAAGTGTCTGTTAGCACATGGGTCTTGGTAATTTCTGTACATGAAAGACTGGAACTGTTCATTTACACAGGATTTCCAGAAGACTTGAAATGTATTTATGTTTAGCCACCCTTCAAACTGAAGGAAGACTGCAAAGTCATCAAGTGCAACTTGCTGTCCACTGAGAGATACTCCTTACTATTAAGGTATAATCCACAAGTCAGGCAGCCTGTGCAGTAATTGAAGCAGACCTTGCTTTAATTGAGACTGAGCTTCCTGACTCTCTGAGCAATGTAATTGTACCTTTTAAAAGTATGATGAACCTTTCCCTTAAAAGTAGCTTTTGCAATTTAACAAATCCATAATTGCAGCAGCAAAACATTTGCTCCTAGATAAGGGCACTTGTGCAGTATTGGTAATTAGTTTGACCTGGCCAGATGCCTCCTGATAAGGCACAGAAGAGAGCTGTCATCTGGTATGCTGAAGAATTTAATTCTCTTAAATTGTGACACAGTATGTATGTGATCATAAGTCAAAAATTACCAGTTGTATTGGATTAAATCCAGTGGTGCACCGCAGTCTTGTTTAGTCCTTACCATTGTGAGGTACTGAAAAAAGAAAAATCCTTGTTCTGGTTATGCTGACACATGTTTTAGCAGGAATTTCATTCCTCTTTCAATTCTTCTGCTTTCTTCCCAATTCCTCCTCAGAGGACATTGCACAACCTCAGTCCTCTCTGTATGTTGTCACATCATTGCAACCCCCTATCTTTCCCTCAGTTGACATCCCTCTTCCTTCTCTATCAGCCTCTCCTGTCAAAATTATCTCTCCTTTCTCTTACAGTTAAAGTACCACCATCTCAAGCCTGGCCTCTCTTCTACAAAACCCATCACAAACCATTGAAAAACCTTCCTGCAAAGCAGTGGGACCCAACGCTTATCTCCTTGAAACCAGGTATCAGTTTGGGGACCTTTCTTCCAGACCTGTCCTTGCAGCTTGCTGTCTGCCACAAGTGCTTCCCAAAAACAGGGCTGGCAAATACGAGCCACCAGCCATGAGGCTTCGTGTCCCTTCTTCCTTTCTCACGAGGCCAGAGGAGAAGCGATGCTGCCCAGGGCTGCTTATGTGTTGTCAGTCGGACCATGCTGCATCTCAAGTATTTTTATTGTCTGGTGGTATCTTTCATCTGAGGAGCTGTTAGCTGTAATCCCAAACTCCTGGTGTGAGCTGGTTTTATGGGTGTCCCAGTGCTGCATCTGGCTCGAGCCATCCTGTGAGCTCTGTTTTAAAAAGCATTAAGCTACTAGTGGCATGTATAGATGTAGCCCTGGTTTTTAATCATCAGGGTTACTGGATTGTCCTCTGCACATATTCTTGGGAAGGAGTTAGGACTTTTAAAATAGAAGGAACTGGGCAGATGGGTGGCTTATTCTTGCCAGGCTGGTGGCCTGCAGAGCCAGGAGGAAAGGGTAGGTGAGTCATGGAGAGCCATGGCCACGCTGGCAAAGCACAGAGCTCCTGGAACTTCTACAGAGGAGCATGGACAGGGAATGGGGAAGGATGCTTGCTTTGTGGCTTCAGGGTAGGTCATGTTAAGGTGAGTTTTGAAGGCAGGTTCCTGCTAAAACATGCTTAAAAGTCCGTGACAAACGGAGTTAGAGGATATGTGCGAGATGAGAGGTGGAACAGAAATAGGAAGCAATTAGAAGAGCAAGGAAAGGAAAGCTCGGGACTGAGTAACCAGGCAGGTTTTATGCCGGATATAAATTAACTGGGATCATATCTCTTGGATCGAAACAGAGGGACTGAGTGGAAAAATGAAGCCTGATTCCCCTCACTTGCTGTATGCATCTGAGACCTCCACCAAGAGAATGATTTTAGGTGCCTGTATGGCACCTCAGGGGAGAGGAGCAAGTCTCCTTTCTCACAGAGGAGAGAAGAAAGTAAGATTTGTAAGATTTGAATCACACCCCTGAAAAGTCAGTCTCTCTCTCTCTCTGATTAGAGTTAATTGATCAAGTTAGGAGAAATCTGGGCCACAATCTTGTTTGGTTCTTAAACACTCATTAATTGCAAGGAACTAATTTAAATTTAATTAGAGTAAGATAAGGTGTGGTGTTTGGCCTACTTTTTAATTTCTTGTTTAAGGTGTTTGCTCGTGACAGATTGAAGCCACCCTAACACCAGACTGATGGGATGCGGGCTGAGGTTTGCTGCGATGCTGTAATCACAGATCGTTTTTAGCCTCACGTGCATGAGGAGATGGACTCGCTATTGTGTAACGATGGCAAATAAGCAATGAGAATTAAAACCAGTTAAGACGGAATTTGCCATTCCTAAAGGCTGGTTGTTTTGCAGCACAAATTTAGTTTTGCTTATCTGATCCTGATTTTCAGCTGCCCTGCGTTCTGGCAGACCAGCTGTGTTTAGTCCACTGCTAGCTGGTTTAGGGAGGAATTATCATGTTAAAAGCAACATTTGTTTGTAGTGCTGGCAAGGCTTCCATTCATCCTGTCTCCACACGGTAAATTTATGTTCTTTACCACGAAACAGCTAAACACATGGGTTTCGAGTGGAACTTTTTTCAGTTGCAGGGCCTAAACAAACAAATAAAAGGATGAGAGAAAGGGATCCCGCTCCTCTATGCTTTATGATGGGTAGAAGAGAAACTCGGGTGTACGTGATGATGAAAAATATTGAATGTTTGCACGTTCTTCTAATGCTTGGAAGGATTTTGGAGAAAATCCTCAGATTGTAACTTGTAAGATGAGTCTGCCATCTTAAAAGCTGGTTATGTGTAAATTTGATTATAGAAAGGTCTTCTAAAGTATTCAGGCCATATTTAAGGTAATGAAGTTTTGTTCCTTAATCTAATTTTGGCTTCCATCTGGAAGAAATTACAAATCCAAACCATGCATCATTTCATTCCTTAAAAATGTCTCGTACCTGCTTTACTGTCCTTGTGTGTGCCTTGGATCTGAGTGTGCAGCAGGACCGGGGGATGATGGAGCACCAGCCACGGGGGTCCCTCACCCACGCCAGCTGCAATGGAGAGGGAGAGGGGTTCCCTGCCACGCTGATCTTGGATCGCTGCCTTCCTCCACTGACTGCATAGGCCTATTGCTAAAGGGATCTGTTTTTTCCCTCTCCCCGTGTCAGGATTATGCACGATACTTCAACTGAGCTGTGTACGTCTGTCCCTTCTGACCGACCATCTTAATGTGTCTTCATACAGTCAGGGGTCCTGAGTAAGGTCTCACTGTGGTTGCTGTTGTCTCTGTGTGCTGGTGAAATAATGTTTAGAGATGAGTCCAGTACACATTCCCTGGTGGTACTGCGTTATTGAAGCATGTAATAAATTATCATTTCTGCTCCAAAGAGCTTGCAATTAATAGTTGAATAAAACGGGTTTGAGTGGAGTGGATATCACCTGGCAAGATTAAGAACTAAGCTTTTGAGTGGTACTAAGAAACTTTTTATTTTTTTAGGGAAACATATCTTTTATTGAAAAGGATATATTCTCTCTGAAAATAACCTTTTTGGGGGGGTGTTGGAATTTAGGAAGTCTAAGCATGGAGTTCACAGTTCAGTGAATTTTTGACCATTTTAATTCTACATTTTGTTCTAATCTAGTTTTAATATGCTAATGGACATAGTTTCTTCCCTTTCTGTTGTCCAGGCCACAAGATTTCATTGTCAGAAAGCTACTGGAGAAACTCAGCTTAAATTTTCTTGCTGCACTAGCTCAAGTCATTCTGTTCTCCCTGGTATTTGCACTGGTGCCAGTTGCATGGGTCGCCATGGAAGGTTAATGTTTGCTAACGGCAATTCTGCTCTGAGTTTATGGTGCAGTTATAAGACAACACCTAGTGAATGCTGGCTGACTGCAACCCACAGCATAATGCTAGCTCACATTAGTATCCTTGTATGTTCTCTCTGCTCATTCGTGCACTCTCGTTGTAAAGCCTTCCTTCTTTTTCTTCCTCCTGGCTGTCACAAGGCAATTTTGGGTCATTATCACAGTGTTTGATGAAAGAGTCGTATCTAACATGTACCTATTTCTTTTACAACAGATGGCCTACAACTATGAACATTGGTTCCACGGCGTCTGTATCTGAATGACTTTCTTTTCCTTTTCCCAGGTGCAGTAGAAAAAAAATGTTCTCCCGACTACGAGTAGCTGCCACTCCCTGTGCGATGGCATATCGCAGTGCACATACGAAAGAAAAAGGCAAGCCACTGATGTTAAACCCACGAACAAACAAGGTTGGTAGTGCATGATTATCAGATACCTTATCTTCATCCGGTATTCGTCCAATGGACCTTGTTCTGGGGTTAAACCACCTCCAGGAGGTGTACTGGGCCACAGCCAAAAAAGGGTACAGAAGATGGAGGAGTCAGTGATCATTTCAAGTTTACTACATGGATATCTACAGTACAAGGATTTCCAATAACACCTTCTGCTTCTGTCAGCCTTTGCTTCCCCTGGTTTGCTGTGGTTTACACAATCGATACTGCTGCTTCCTTGTGCCAAATGAAGAGAGGCTGATTTTTGCTGATTACTGGCTTAGTTTTGGGGCTGGTTGAATTGAAGTAAAGCTTTAGCAGATAAAGGGTCTTATTTCATAGTTTGCAAAAGTTAATTCTGAATTCAGTCTTGCTAGGGATAGAAAGCATCAGCCTCTCTGTCCTAGTCCTGGCTGTTTCCTGCAAGACTGTGACTTGGGACCGAGCCATATCAGTAAGAAACATCCCCGTGCAGAGAGTCGGACAGAGAGCATCTAAAAATAAGCCTTGAATGGAGCTAGCTGGGAGGTAGAGACGTTATGTTAATTCCATGCATTGGGAGGAACTTCTCCTAAGAAAGTAGGGTTTTTCTTCCTTCACAAAAATTTTCCTATTTCCACTACCCATCCCCAGTTTCTTTTTTTCCCAGAGTAGTAGTAGCCTTCAGGAATTTTGAAACAATTAATGTGTAAACTAAAACTAGTAAGAAATGAGGTGAGTGCTTTTGGTAGCTGATCCAAGATGTCTAAAGTGTCCAAGAAAAGTGACAAATCTAGCTACCTCTGACAGGGTATTTCATGAGCAAAGGAGCTATGGAAGCTGGACTTCCATGGTTTTATCCTATGTTTTTAATGTCTGGCACTTCTCTTCCACGTTCTCTGATTTTATTTTTTCCCCTCCACTTGAATATCCCCTTCACTGTAAATTTCCTTCCTTTTCTGCCCATGGCCCTGACTCCTCCTCTCCCCCTGTATTCTTAGCTCCTTCCCATGTCCCCTTTGCCTAGATGCAAAGCAGCATGTACTGCTATAAACTGGCCAGCTGGCAAGCCAGACGCATAACCCTGAGCCTTTCTCTCAGCAGAAGGACTAGGCTGGCTCTTTCCTCTGCATGGCTAAACCTTCCCATCTCCGCCCCTTTTCTTTTCTTTGTCTCTCTCTTTTGTCAGAATTAGAAGTTGGCCAGTGGGTTCAAAATATCTGGGGAGGATATCAAGGTAGGAACTGCAAGCTACATCTCCTTGTATCCTGCCCATAACTACAGGGAAAATTGCTCACGTTTCTTTTGGCAAAAGTGATTCCTCAGTGTTCTGAAAAGAAAGGAAGAAGGCACAATGTAGACTTGCAGTCATGTTTCTTACTGTTTCTTGTACGGTATAGCGTAGTTGAGATGCCTTGACACTGCATGAATGCAGGTTGCATATATAGAGAGCAAGCTGTAGAAATCAGAGACTGGCTGATTGCAAAAATGAAATTGGGGTGGCCATGTTGGGGAAGTAGAAAAGAATAGTTTGGTGTGATTTACTAAGGTCAGATTATCTTGAGACTTTTCTGAGCTATAAACACTTTGACATGCCAGTGGAAATTATTTCAAGCCCTGAAAGCTTTTCCAAGTGCTGATTATGCAACAGTGTTCAGAAACAAAAAACAATAGGTCATTTCTTATTGTTTTTGTAGTGGGAATATCTTTCTAATTTTTATTTTCTTTTAGGCCTGGAATTCTCTGGTGGACTGAGCACAATGCAGTATTTTTTATGGGTTTTTTTTGCGGAGTAGGGAAGAGCAGAGAGCTGCTTATTAATAGCAGTTGATTTTTCTTTTTTTTTTTAAAGTCTCCAAGAAAAGATACTTGTGAGAGGAAAAAACTTTCCACATTTGTTTGGCTCTGTTGTATCAGTCTATCATTAAGGCTGACACCTGTTTGAATGGATCTGTAAGCTGCTTAAGTGCTACTGCTTGATATTGGGTGCAGTATCTGTATAGAAATGTATTTTGGAACTTCAACAGAGAAATAAATGATTGACTAAATATGCAAAGTACTTTACCCTTTGTGTTTTTCTTGCCCACAGTGCCTCATGTGCATGTATATATATATATCATATACATATGGGCATGGATAAAGGGCTTTATCTCTTGCTGGCAGCTTGTTGAGATAGTAATTTTATGACTCATGTTTTAGTTGCTTATGTTTAGTTTTTACAGTCCCTATCAACTCTAAAGAACATTTGATCTCCTTTAATATACAGGGGCCCTAAAACAAGAACTGCAAGATGGCAGCGTCACTAACAGAAAACCACCCTTTCCCTTTGTGCAAATTAATCTGCTCTGGTTCTTTGCCATGGGAGTAGGTTTTTCTCTTACCATTTGTTTCTTTTCTTTTCTTTCCCATCCTTACCTGTCTTTTGCAGGTGCATGCTACACCTACATCAACTGGTTTGTTTTTTGGTGTTTGAAGGCCAGCTTTCAAGTGTTCACTGTCAGGGCAGCTCAGAAAAAGGTCATGAGCTATATCAGTAATGCCCTTGCTGTTGCAGCCAAACAATTGCAGAACATACTGTAACTGCATTGCTGCCAACCATGTATATTTACGATCTTCCATGATGTTTGATTTCTACTCTGTGACAGGGATTCAAATTACAGTTAATTGGTGTCAGGACCTTTTATTCTGCTGGAGATCCTTGCTGTGCCAAGGCAACGTTTTAAGCTTGTTGGGTACTTGGAACACTGTTAGGACAAACTCATTTGTTTAGTACTCTCAATTAAATTGTTACTTATATTGTGGTAATGCTTCGGATTCTCAGTCAAGGGCCAGAATTTCTTCTTCCAGCACAGAACAGATGATGCATGAGTAGGTGATCCCTGACCTTGGTGATGTCCATTCTGCCATGTAGAGTGGCATCAGTATGTCTTTTTCCTCGCTGGAAATATGTGACCTGTAACATTATTCATATGTTTGTTTTCTGTGTGCTTGCAGCAAATTTATGACTGAATAATTTGTGACACTTTCTGTGTTTTAGTTGGTGGTTTTTCTACCTCATGGCATCAATTCTTCTTGTTACTATCTGAGTGCGTGACTGTATTTTGTACAGTTGATTCCATTACCCCTTTTTCACTTACTCTGTTCCTCAATTTTGTTTGGTTATTTCATTTTTTAACATCATTCTCCTGTACTGACAATGCCTCCCAAATTTTTAGCTTCTGCAGATATCTTTAGAACATTGCATTAAACACACACACATTTGTATGTATATATATGCCTGGGCACATGTGCATGAGAATACATGATGAATTTCAAAATAAAATTCACTGAAGGGTTCACAAGTGGCAGTTTAATCCCAGGCAGATTCCTGAGGAACTGTCCCAGTGTCTAACTTCCATATGGGTGGTCATCTTTTCATATCTTCTATTTAGCTAGACCATTAATCACAGTTTCATCTGTATTAATTCCCAGCTTTTTTAGCCCGATTTATTTTCATCTATGCCTTACTGAATACTTCCAGAAACTCTTGACAGATTACCTTTGTTTAAAGAATCAGTTCTCTTAACAAAGATGTGACCTCCCTGACTTCTGGCAAATATCTGAGCAGTGTGTTTCCAATTCAGAATAAAAAACAAACAAAAACCCCAGCCCAAAGGTAAAGCTAGTTGGACAAAATAAATAGGATAGGACAAGAGAATGTGAAGAAAGATTGTGTGAACTTTAAGATCTAAAAGCATATGCTCCCTTTCCCCTTCCCCTGCTCTTTCTCACTGTGCTGGTTTCTGACACATTTGATTTCTTCTCTTTTAATACTTTTTAGACTCTTGTCAGTTGAGTTGAGCAGCCAGGGTGTAGAATACACAATGGCGGTCTACCTTCCAGGGGAAACCAGGATAAACAGGATGTGGAGATGTACTGCAAATGGTAATTGTCATGTTGCTAAGAAATGCAGTGCTTGAAATACTACCAGAAGTTTCTGATCAGTCGTGAATAAAGATCCTAGAAGGTGGGAAACTGATAGTGCACACGCACATACCCAGCCCAAAAGTACCACCACGAGTTTTGTGTCCTGCCCAACTGGTTTGGAGATGGAGGTTGCACAGCAATGCATCTTCAGCTTTTGTCAGCTTCCTTGAGATCTGAGTGCTTTTAAAGGGAATTAAATGTGGAAAGATGGAACTGTTTAATCTGTAACCCGCTTTTATCATCCCTCTGAAAAGGTGCCCTTAAGTGCTAAAGGTGGTAGGTAGTATTGCACCTCATTTAACTTAGATCAGCTATTCTGCTCAGGACTCGTGAGCTGCTGGGATGGTGGGTGGAGAAAGGAAGGAAGCTGTCTTGGTTTTGAAATGTTTTGGTTTCTTTCTTTTTATTGTAGGATTAATGCCGTTAAAGGAGAACAAAAGCAGTGGCATCTGCTTAGTTAGAAAAAATAGCAGTTTAATGAAATGTCTCTGAGGTGTTCAGGGATGCTATATGGTGTAGATGAACCATTTCAGTCATCATGCTCCTGATTTGCAATGTACAGCTTTACCATAACCGTTGTGCTTGGCAGCAAACCCTAGAGAGGCTGAATGACTTACTTGCTGGTGCGTAAAGGCTCTCTGTTTCTGACTTTTTCCCATTTTCTGCAAGGGAATGCTTTTAGGTGAAGCCACATCATTAGTAAATGAGAGTTACTGTGGGTTAGCTAAGTCTGGTTCAGCAGCCCAAGTGATTTACATCTGGTTCCACACATACAGAGGCGGTACAAGAACCGGTGGCATCTTTGCCTGCAGAGAGACTGAGGTCTTTAAAGGCTGAATAACCTGGGGAAGGTCTGGGTCATTTCACTGTTGAGCAGGGAGTAGATTGCTGTGCTGTATCAGGCACACCCTCCACTATATATACTATGCTGTTTCTGGAAGAATAAAGATATGAAATTGAGTTTAAAAAAATGAAGGGGGAAAGAAATCAAAGGAGATTTCCATATTCTACACTGCTCTCATTAAGACAGAGAAACTTTGAATCTACGGTTGAGATAGCAAATACACCTTTGATTCATATGAGTGAACTTATTAATTTGCAGTTGTGCAACAGTGAACTTTGTGATTTAGCAGAAGGAAGCAGAGTTAAGAGAAGCAGCCCACAATCCTATGTAAAATCTACTTTATTTTAAAAATGTTTATGACGCTACTTCAAAGCCTACGATATACTGCTGAATATGTTATAACAATGATTAGAAGTTGCATGAAAACCATTCGATTAAATCTTCCCTCTGAAGTAGGCTAACTCATTTTCCGAACAGTGGCACATTTGGATATATTCTGCATTTACATCTTTATCAGGGGCTTTGAATGTGTTGTTTGTTGTCAGCTGTCCAGGTTTTCAGAATGCTTGTGAGTATTTGTGGTGTCAAGTAAAAGTATCCCCTCCTGTATGTATACCTCCAAGCCTTTGCAGGTGGGGAAAAAATTATAACCACTAGTACTTCTCTGCTTAGAAACCTCTCAGTATTACTTAGTGGTGCTATAAAAATCATGCTTGCAGGATTCAGGTCTCCTGTTCACCTTCATGCAAAGTAAGCAACCAGAATTCTCATATGCTGGTATTTATAGCACCACTCACTTTGTGTAGCAGAGCCCAGTTGTTAGGGCTAAAGTGACGTCCCAGTGCCAGATAGTTTGTGGATTAAAGACACAGTACGTGGTGATTCAATGTGAGCTTGTCCTGACTGAAAAACTGTCAACACTTCATTTTACTTGCCCCCCCCCCCCTTTTTTTCTTTTTCCCACGGCAGTACGTTGGTTTTGTTGCAATAAATTTGTCCATGCGTATTAATTAATTCATCTGTGGTCTTTGAAGTGTGCTGGGTTTTCTCCTAGATGTGCTCCCTGCTTTGTCTATACTATCTTCGAAAGGACACTGAGCTGTAAAGAGGATTAAGGAAACTAATCGAAGTGAAAGTCAGTGCCTAACACTCAGAGAAAGGACACCTAGCACTGTGGGTCAAAGGAAACCAAAAAGTGACCCCTGTGACTTAAAACCCAAATCATTACAGTATTTAGGCATTTAATCCCAGTGGAAACCAGCGGGAATTTGGCCCTTAAGTAGGTGATGAGATCTTAAGTGCCTTTGAGAACATCAGTCCCGCTGCTGGGAATTGCTGAGTGCCTCCTGATTCACTGGAACCTGGTCACTGGTTCTGTCAGACTGTACTGGGCTTTATAAAATAAGGGAAAAGGCTAGGAAATTTGTAATACTGCAGCTCCTAGGCACACTAGTTTAAGGAAAATCTCCGTCCTGCGAGGTGCTGTATGGGGAGCAAGCCACAATCCCAAATCCAAAATGAGAGGCAGCTGGTGGTCATGGACAAAGATAATGAATGGAAATACAGCAAGTGGTGGAAGAGCTCTGGGTTTTTTACAGTGCTGCTCTGTACTAAACTTGTTCTGTTCTAGTTGGAATGAGGATTAAATTTCTGTATGGAGGCTGATGGCGTTCAGGTTCCTGAGTTAGGCCTGGGCAGAAATTACAGTGTCTTTTAATGTGGTAAGATCTAATTGTCACATAAATAAACAGCTGGAAGTACTTAGTGCCACTTAAAAATTCACTGTGTTTAATGTTATTGTAACTGCAGATACACTGAAAAACCAGGTTGCCTATAGACTGGAAAAAATGTGAGTAAACTCAATAAAAATGGGTAGCTGTTCTGCTTAGTACTAACCTCGGGGCTCCTTTGATATTATTAATGACCCAGGTAGTTTAAGGTCACTGGTTTCACTGTACAGGGAAATTAAGGAAAAGCCATGTCCCAGTGTCATGCTAATAGTGGAAATTAGAAATTAGGTAGACTTTATTTTTAAGGGACTTGAGAGTTTCTGATGGGGAGGATGTAGATTTTGCTAGTGAGATATTTCAGCTAGTTTAGAGTAAAATGTCAACGTAGCCAGTACAGTACCACTGAAGGGATTCTGGCCTTTGACATGCCTTGAACTAGTGACATTAGTGGCTTTACTGACCAGTGTTTATATATCTTCTGAAAAGAGGCTAAGCATTTTTTTTTCCTTCTTCTTAATATCTTAAATCTTCTGGCTCGCTTTTGTTTTTGTAGTGCCCGAAGTAACAGTCAAAATATTACAGATGTTTACCAGCTGTACTCAGCTGTGTACCCTAAATCACTTGCACTGCAAATACAGTTTATGTTGAGAAAGAGTTGTTTTAAAAAGGCATAAACTGCTGATGGTAACAAATTAGGGGGTGGTTAAGGAAAAGAGGAAGACAGCTGAGATGTGTGTTTGCATGGTTCACTTCCATGCAACTTTGGAAGATGCATTTACATTCCCAGAGAATCTTTGAATATTTCTTGTGAAGTATGCAGAAGTGAAACTGAAGTGGATTCTTTGCAGTATAGGAAAAAAAAATGTGGCATTCAATGTGTGTTCCTTGTGGTTTTTTTTCTCATGCCAGTGCTGCTTACTGGTTGTTTTATCAGTGAAAATTTTGGATTATTCAAATCAGTTTTCAGAAAAAATGGTCACGTGGCTAAAGTGACTATTACACCCAGCAAAAGACCAGCAGCCAGGGTAAAAAGTTCAGGAATAAGCTGTCATCTGAAACTTATTTACAGACAGTATTGGAAGAATACTTGAGAAAAACAATTGCATTAGGAAAGAAAAAAATGGTTTGCAAATGACTCTCAGATAGTAGAAAAAGGATATAAATTGAGTTCAGTATTTAATATCAAATCTACTACATGGAAGGTTGTCAGAAATATGAAGCATCAATCTATTTTAGGGTTAAACACTTAGAGTTTTTTGCAAAAAATATTTTCAAGAGTTTTTTGCAAAACACTGAAGTGTTTTGTTCTTTTTTTTTCTGGGAGTAGCTTGCTTTTAACTCTTAAAATATTTTATTACTTTAGAACATAGTATAGAATTAGTATGGAAAAGCAGGTGGACTGCTTAACTCAGTGTAGTCAAAACAATTGATATTCAAAACAATTGATATTCAATGTGATTCAAATAAGCAAAGAGAAAAATTATATAAAAACTATTAATCATTTTAATTATCCTTTTTCCTAAGGAGTAGTTTTATTGGTTATAAACCATTCACGTATGCTGAATTGCACTAAGTATAGCCTCTAAACTAGAGATCTTTTGTTAATGGGCATGCTTTCTACAAATATCTGTGGAAGTCTATTCAAATATAAGCAGGGGTGAAAATATGTAATAGTAATTTATGGTTTTTTTGTTCTAAAGTGGGAAAAATATTTTTTTCTTGTGATTTTTCTGATTGCAGAAGGAATTTGGAATGTAATTACAAGGCATAAAACAAACTTTAGAAAGCTTTTTTTAAAGCCTTTTTTTTTTGACTTGGCAGTAAGAAGCCGCTTCCAGCATGGGGAAATTTGAGAAAATGAGCTCTTGTTTTTTAATCTAGCTGCTTTAGTAGACAAAGGAAGTGTTGTTTATGAGCAGAACTGATCTTTCTTGTTCCTGTCTCTTTCAAAACATTACAACTAGCAGACCTTTCCCTTTCCAATTCTGCTTTTGCCCACAGACTGATGCACAGCCTTGGCACAGCAACGGCTTTCCTGGGTTTTCAGCTCCTGCGTTCCTAAATACTCATTTAATCATTCACTGAACTGACCTGATTGGATACAGTGAAGTAGGGAAGGTTTATCATTGCTCTTTTGGAAGTGGCAAACTTAAAGTGGGGTCAGTCATTGTCGGAAATGGGGTCAGCGCTTTGAGACAGGTTGGCTGTGAATCCGGGCTCGGATTAGTTAACGTTTTGCAAAGTTACGCCTAGGAGTTAACTGCCCCGTGAAGATGCCTGTCGGTCTCCGCTAGCAGATATCTCACAACTGGCTGTTTTGGGTAGTAAGTGAAAAGCCAGTTTTATTGAATGTTATTGTTAAATAATTCAAATTAGTATTTAAATAACAATAAATTAAACTCTTCATCCACCTTGAAACAGAGAAGAATGGAAATGATGGGCTATTTTTGCAGTTTAACTCCTCTGACACTTAATTTGTTACAAATGAGGCTTTTTGGTAGTAGAGAGCTACAGTTGAAGACAAATAGGTTAGTTCTAGCCCTAATTAAAAATGAAGGATTTGGGTGGAGTTGTGATCTCGATAGAAGCATTAGGGCAATTCAGTAGCTTTGGGATCTGGCTGGATTACCGAAAGTATGTAGAAAAAAGCAGCAAACGGAGCAATTCACATAAACTTCTGCAGACTAAATGTTACTGTCTGTGATTGTAGGGACCAGACCGGGTGACCCACATGTTCTTGGTCAACCTTATGTTCCTATGAAACAATTCAAGAAGCAGCTGTTATTTTACTTTTAAACCTTAGACTGTCTGCAGTGGGATGTCTTAGTCGTTCTCCAGTTTCACGGAGGAAAATGAAATCTGCCAAAGGGCTTGAGGACTCAGAGATGTGGAAAAGCTGTGGTCAGAAGGGATACCCACAAAGGACAAGGAGAACCCCAGCAGAGGCAGACATATCCAAACCCTGCCTGCTGTGGCACCTGCCATGAGAGAAGGATGCAGTGGATAGTGAGAAATGGCAGATAGAAATACATCATAAATAGAAATGCTAGAGGAAGAAATGCTAATTATTTCTCACCTCTCTTGTTTTCAGGGTATGGCCTTTACACTACATGAAAGACAAATGCTTGGGCTGCAAGGACTTCTACCTCCTAAAATAGAGACGCAAGACATTCAAGCCTTACGCTTCCATAAGAATTTGGCAAAAATGACTGACCCGTTGGAAAAGTAAGTACTCCTCTGGCCTTGTTCTGTCCCGCAAGTCAATGGAAATTGCTGTAAAACTTTGCACGGGGATAACCAAACAAGGTTTCTATGCCTCCACTGGGTTTTTCAGTTGTTGGAGGTTATTTTCACTTTGCACAGAAAACTGCTTTCCATCAATCATGCATTCATCATGTGGCTAAATGAGGTTGGGGAGCTTTTTTCTTATGTTCCATGGTCACAAGGTAGTGAAAAAGAACATGCACAAATTGGCCAGTTACAAAGCTGCACACCGTGCTGTAATACATAATGCGTATTTCTATAATACGTAAGATTCGGGTGGCAGGCTGTTAGAGCACAGAACTGTTAGGGGAGAGGAAGGGACGGCTAGCACATGCTAGAAAAATATGTGAGAATGAAAGTAAATTGAGGGTTTGATAATTAGGTATGAAAAACAGTGTTTATTATATACAGTAGTTACTGCTAGAAAGGAATTACAGGGTTAGAATTTTGAGTCTCAATGTGTAATTTTTTACATCAATCTTTTTTTTTGTTTAACCCACTGGTTTGTTGAAAAAAATGTGAAGGATTTTGATTTGTTTTTTTAGAATGGCATGTTTTTAGCATCCTGTTACTGTTTCCATATAAGCCTATGTATATCTGCATGTAAAAATATGCAGTCTCCTAAAGGCGAGAGGAGCGCTGGAATGGTTTGAGGCTTACTGGACCACATCAAAACCCTTTTGTTCTCATGAAAACCGAAAGATGACTTTTAAATCCACATCATGTCACTTGCTGATCGAAACAGTCATGTCATCTGTATTGGCAAAGTGCCTGGTTGCTGTAGCCTAAGATGGATCACTAATTCATTATCTTTATGTTGTTGGGTCAGCAAGACTGAATATGAATTGATACACGGTAGATTGGTAGCTAAATTTGCAAAAATGCAAGTTTAATTTACATACCTATGTAAGTCCTTCAAAATGAACTTTTTCTTAGGAGTTAATTTGTTTTACAACTGTGTTAATGTGACCTTTTCGTGGATGAAAAATTCTTTCATTAATAATTTCTTTTTAATAGTAATGAGACTCCCAGCTGCATCCTGTAATAAATCCATGGGTTATCTTTTGTCGCAGTGTATGTTTGTGCATTAACTTGTTAGCATGCGTGGTATGCAATATCCAGTATTTTTATTTCAGCTTTTTAGTACTGCTGCTCTCTCTTTTCCAACTTTTGTTTAGTGCTCAAAGCCCGACTTGAGTAGAACCAAGAATTTCATGAAGAAATAATATGAAGCAAGCTTGGTTTTTGCTTTGACATTTGTCACGTTTTAAATAAGTATAAATGTGAAACAGTAAATGTTTTTTTTTTCTTTTGCTTAATTTCAGGTATATCTACATAATGGGAATCCAAGAGAGAAATGAAAAATTATTCTATAGGGTATTACAAGATGATATTGAGCGGTTAATGCCAATTGTATACACACCAACAGTAGGCCTTGCCTGCTCCCAGTATGGACACATCTTCAGGAGACCAAAGTAAGAATAGATACACATTGCTGCTACCTTTATTACCATTTTCTCTGTATACTTCCCTGAGGTTTGGAAATGTTTTATTTCATTTTTGTTTGGATTCAGCTACACAAGACTTCTGCCAATTCAGGGCAGTAAAAGTTCATTAAATAATATCTCAAGACCCAGTTTACATTGGAAAACAGAACATCTGAAAACAGAATTGGTAAAGTGTCGCGTAAATAGCACAAGTGCAGGGCTTCAGCCCCATTTCCAGCTCTTCCTAGATGCCATACAGCTCTTTAATTCCGAGGAGAGTGCTGTGGCTTTCTCAGCTCTCAAAATCACATCTGGTGAGTCTGAGGATCTGTATCAGGACAGAGCATTTGGAGAAAGTGTAGATTGAAAGGGATTTCCAGAGGTCATCTGATCTCACCCTCTGTTCAAGAGGGGTAACTTCGGGTAGATTCGTTAGCTATATCCCCCTGCGCAACCCTGTACGCATCCTGCACAGAGGCAGAAACCCGAGTGCACACACACTTGTACAGCAGATTTGCTGGAGGAAGCTCGGGCTAACGGCAGCTCTGGCAGAATTGAAGCCGTGACCAACATGTTCCTGCTGGTGGCAAAAAAAAAAAAAAAATATCTCTCGCAGTGCTGGAGAGATTCTCACGATGCTCTGCAGAGCGGCACAGTGTGACATCTTGGGTGCAGGAGCAGCGTGTGAAGAGAGATGTTGGCAAAGCAGGAGGGGAGAGGCTTGACTCATGGTAGCTCAGCAGACTCCGTTGGGTGCAGGTAGTCCCTGTATTAAAGCTGTGCTACTAGGAGTCAGCTTTCAGTTATTCGGACACAGTAAGTATGCTTGCCTGGCATCTGGTTTGGGTTCAGCAGTGACTTCAAAACAACCATTCAGGTTATTAGCTCTGTGTTGAGGAAACCGGTTCAGACTGGCAGTCATTTCAGCTCATTTCCATGGTACTCTCACTGCAATTCAAAGTGTATTTCTAGAGCGCTCTTGCTTGAGGGCTTTAGTGGTGTGTGGAGGAAGGGCTAATCCTTCGCTGCCGTGAGGACTCGGCTGCGTAGTGTGGCTGCTGTGATGAAGACAGTAAGAAACTCACGGTTTTGCTCCTGATCTGGGGCAGGGGATGTGAAGGATGTACTCTTCGTTCTCACATACTTTCTTTCCTCTTCCACATCTCTGTATGCGTTATATACCGGTTTGAAAACTGTCCCCCTCTAGAAGTTGTCTGTATGAGAAACAGCAGCATGGACTGCAACTCAGGATGTGCCCCTTTCTTTCTGAGAATCAGCACTTTCCAAGCGTTGGTAATTTATCTGTTAACCATGTCTGCTGAGCCTTTCATGCCCCCTTTCCTCTAACAGAGGAACAACAGAGGACTTGCTCGAGCAGAAGAAATACAGACACTTCTCATCATCTCTGCTCCTTTCTGCTCCTTTGCCTCCCCTCCCGTGTTCCCATGGAGGACCACTCCGCAGTGGGAAGCGCTGTTCTCCTCCTGGTCTTGGAGAAGACAGTATGCTCAGTCCCTGTCTTTCTCTTCTTTTCTTTTCCCTCCCCTCACCTTGTGTAATGTCATGAACGGAGATTCACTAAGGTAAAGCCAGGCTTAGGATCATGTTCCCTTCTCCTTACAGTGGAGCGTAGATCCTGTCGTGTCTGACGCTAACACCAGAGGTGTTTTGCCCTAGAGGAGTACTAAAGGTGAATATCTATAGTAGTGTAAAATCCAGGTAGCATCATGAAAAGTATTTTCCCTGTGTTATTAGAGTGTCAAAGTAGCTGAATAAACTTGTGTATTAGAAATTGTCCATTGAGTGATTTATGTCAGTGATTGCAACACCTTCAATTTTAAGAAAATTGTACTGTTTGACATTTAGTTTTACAAAGCAAGGTGAAATTTCTAATTGCCACCTATAAAATATTTCTGCTTTGTTTTTTTCTTTCAGAGGATTATTTATTTCTATCTCAGACAGAGGCCATATAAGGTCAATTGTGAACAACTGGCCAGAGAACGACGTTAAGGTACTGCCACTGTATAATTTTTTTTTCTAGTTGTTATTTAATCTCAGTTGAACTTCTTAAGATTTGTTAGTATTTGGTGGAAATGTAAATACTAAATAATGCATCCTTGGCTGTTTCATGATGATGGCAAAATACAGCTAATGAAGATAATGTGTATCTTGAAGAGCGGTGTTTTATCCTAAATATGAGGTTTATGGTTTGAGTAAACAGTGACGATGAGAACTAGACTTGCTGACCTTTTTATTTTACTTCATTATTCCACCTTTTGGGGAGGTATTGGGGGATGCACCTCTGGGTCTTACTTATTGTGTTACACAGCAGTAGGAGAGGTGATCTTATCCTCTCATTAGGACACAGAAGTGGTAGTTGGGAGGCCCAGATTGCCATTAAATCCTGTATGACCCAGTCGGATTGAGAACCACAAGGGGAGATAAGGTGAATGATACTTACACAAACTTCTTGATGTCTGGATTTACAAGTGGAAATCATAAACCTAAGTCGCAAGCTGCAGTTCCACACGGCAGCTTGGATCCTTCCCACTTAGCTTTCAAGGATTTTGGGCAGTGGGTTTCAGCAAAGAAAAAGGAGCATAGCAGATTCTAACATTAAGCGTTACTGTTTCAAGTAAAATATTCCTTGTAATCTTTTCCTTGTTTTGTTGTGCAAACATACCTGAATTTTTGCCTGGAAAAAAACCCAACTGGTATTGCTTTCAACTTTATAAATTTCAGTGATCATATATAATTTCACCTCCTTTTGTTTTCAGGCTGTTGTCGTCACTGATGGAGAAAGAATATTGGGTCTTGGAGACCTAGGTGTGTATGGGATGGGAATTCCAGTAGGAAAACTGTGTTTGTATACAGCCTGTGCAGGAATACATCCAGATAAATGCTTGCCTGTGTGCATCGACGTTGGAACTGATAATACAGTGAGTTTGACTGAACTTTGCCTGCCATAAGTTATCCCTATGAAAAGTATTTATTTAAGAGTATTTAGTACTATAAGAGAAGATTTTTATTTGAGCACTTTTATTTAAGATAAAACCAAGTATTTTTATGTAAGGGTAAATGATTTGGAATTCACTATACAGTTACATATCAGTGATTGAAAAACATGAGTTTATTTGTCAGTGAAATGGTACATTTGGAAGTAATTTGAATGCTGGAACACTGTAAAATAGACAGTCAGGTTGACCTGACTTTTAAGAAGCTGGAAATGTGAATCAGATTTATTAAAGCAGTTTATTGTTCACGGTATTGATTTGTTCCATTTTAAAAGCAGCCATCACCAGTCTCAAGTGCCAGCTGAAATTACTGAATGTAGATATAGACTGGAGGCAGTTACAGTGGCTATATAAATGCGGTTATCTTTGGTGTGAAATGTGTTACTGTGAACTCTGGAAAGTGTATATTGAGGAAGTGATTCATCCTGCTGCTGTCTTTGATTTATTCTTTTTCAGACACTCTTAAAAGATCCATTTTATATGGGCCTATACCAAAAAAGGGATCGCTCACAGGTCTATGATGACCTAATTGATGAATTTATGGAAGCCATTACAGACAGGTATGACACTGAATATGCTGCACAGAAGTATGGCCAAAACTGGCAAAAAACCCGCTGTAACACACTGTCCTTGAAACAGTCATTTAAGTAATAAGGATAGGACTAGAAGTCAAGAAACACAGCTGTATTTCTGGTTCTGTAGAGATTTTCTCTGTGACCTGGAACATGCTGCTTGTACTTATCTGTTAAATATGCACAGAATGGAGATGGAACTATTTTAAGCAGTGAAAGGCCTGAAGACATCTTCTTTCCAAAGATAATTGATTACGTGCAGGATTTTTATTAAAAGGATTGTATTTCTTTATGTGTCTAGTGATAGGAATATTTGCCATGTTCTGTAGGTATGGCCAGAACACACTTATCCAATTTGAAGACTTTGGAAACCACAATGCTTTTCGGTTTTTAAGAAAATACAGAGAGAAATATTGTACCTTCAATGACGATATTCAAGGTATACCCTTTGTTTATTTTCCTTAATGTATATACACAAACTTTGCCTAAAACCATAGTCTGCCATGTAGATCTGTTCAGCTCACCTTAGATTTGTACTGCTTTTACAGGGACGGCTTCAGTGGCCTTGGCAGGACTGCTGGCTGCACAGAAAGCCACTGGTAAACCACTTGCAGAGCAGAAGGTGCTGTTCCTTGGAGCAGGAGAGGTGAGTTCTCTTAAGGGCTCTAGAGCAACAAGAGACTTAACTGTGTATTTTCTGGTTCTGTAGGACTCATGGAGATTCACATTGTCTGAATTCCATTGCAGAACTTTTTATATAAGGCCAGCTGAAACACATTAACAGAAGGGACTACCTGCTTAAAGATGACCGTTTGAAAGGTGTTTAACATTTGCAAGGACGCAAGTTTTTCACTTTCTTACATGGACTTGAAAAAAACATCAGGGACTTGTCTGTAGTTGAAGGGGAATTTACCATAAAATTATGATTTAGTAAGAAGGAGGGTAAGAACATCTTGTTAATTTTTATAGCATTGGAGAGAAGTACACGGTGGTTTTCTTAGCAAGTTAAATCAGTGGCTATTTGCAGCAGACACTACTTAGTTACTGGGGCAGCAGTGTCAGGACCAGCACCATGCTTCTTGGTATATCAGCAAAATTGCTTCTATGGTGATGACAAAATAACTTAATTAGCTGAAAATTTCTCCAGCTGGGGAAGGTCCTGATTGCAGTAATTGGCCAATGTTGTGTTGTTGCCTGAGCACTGAGCCCTGCTCTGCACTTCCCTCTACCTTATTTCTCCTGCCAGACTTAGCAGCATGTGCTGTGAGCCAAGAGAAGGGACATGGAGGGAAGCACTGCCAGCATCTACTTTCTGCCCTTTGTCTGCAAGGCCTTTATCACAGGCAGCAGAGGCAGAGAGAGGTTCTGAAAGCACTTGGGCACAAAACGCTACACCATGGTTTCTTGGCAGGAGGGCTGCAGCACTAACTTGTTCTTACTGTCTGGTTGGGCTGCTTTATTGTGGCTGCTGAACTGGTACAGGCAGGGGGGCACAGTACCCAGAAGAGCTGCCTCTCTCTTTTGCTTGAAGATGCGACACTCTTGATCCCAGGAGTCTGCCCCCGTCTAGGCAAACATTGCTTGTGTTTCTGAGCTTACTTACTAAATTATTTTTGTGGGGATTTTGAATAGGGTGGTGTTTGTGATGACAGACCTCTTTTGTGACTTGTTAAAAATCAAAGTCCTTTTATCCACAAGGCCGCCCTGGGAATTGCAAACCTCATTGTTATGGCGATGATGGAAAGCGGTGTTTCTGCTGAGGAAGCCTATAGGAGAATATGGATGTTTGACAAATACGGTTTACTGGTTCAGGTAGGGGAGCGCCATGCCTTGAAATACCACTATACAGATGGCCAGTGCTCAACGTGTCCTTCTCACAGAAAGAATCAACTTTTTACCTATAGGGCCGAGAACAAAAGGTAGATTCCAATCAAGAACCATTTACGCATCAGGCTCCAGAGCAGATACCAAAGACGTTTGTAGAGGCAGTGAATGTACTTCGGCCTTCAGCTATCATTGGTAAGTAAGGTTATTTTTGTTTCTGTGTTTCCATCATTCGGTTATTTGCTGCATTTAATTTGCTAACGTGGCTCCAAGGAGGTTGGTGACAGTGATCTGTGTTTCTGCTGGTGTAAAGAAGATGAAAATGTGAGGTCAGTTTGCTGCTTGAAAATACACTGAGCTGCAGGTTAGCTCTCAGTGCATCCTTCATTGCAGCTGCGGTGCTTCTTCTGCATCTTGTATCCTTTTTAACTGCTTCCTCTAGTCCTTGTCCAGCTGGTGTTGGACCTTTCTTAGAAAACTCTGAGCACATTCTCAGAGACTGCATGGCCACAATGAACTGACACTGTAATGAAGGGCACTAAGATTCAGGAAGACAAAAATATAACTTTTTTCCAGACACATTCCCTACACCAGCAGCAAGGGAGAGAGCAGTCACAAACACTGCATTTTCTGCTTTACAGGACTTCCCTAACTTCAGTAGTTTTTGTTTGGGGGTTTTTTCTGACCTTCCTTCCCCCAGTCAGCTTCTCTGGCCAGAATCTGCCACCAGCATGGTGTGAAGGAGCTGTTTCATACTGCAGATCACCAATACCTGTTAGGTCCCTGACATGTGTAGGTATTGATTTATAACTGTGGCTGTCTGCAGAGGTCAGATGGGATTACAGGTATTTCCTGGTACAACTCTGCAATTTCCTTTGCACATGATTTATTTGGAAAAGAAAAGTTTTTTGGCTGAGTAGCTACCCTGAAGTTTGTAGCCAGCATACAAATGTACACCATTTTTATGTATTGGTACCTATGTGTTTGGGTGTGGTCAGAAATACCTGTATCAAGGGAATGCGCAGTTAACACCCAGCTAGGATGAATCATCTGTGAAGAACCTGGAGTTCCCACTTGCTTATGGAGGGCAGCGATAAGTGTTCTTTACACAGATCAGTACAAAAAGTCATGTCAAATAGGCTTTTGGAACACATTAATTAGATGTTCCTGTGAAAATGAGAATTTTAAGCAGCCACTAACAGAGCAGTGCCTGGTTTCCATCTCCTGCTGCTAAAAAAGCCTGTGATTCTTTGCTCTGAGTGGGAGACTTCAGGGGTGACGTGAACTTAATCTACAGTCATCTGCCCTGAGGCAGTCAAGTATTGATTCTATTTTTATGTGTTTCCGTTTACTTCAGGAGTTGCAGGAGCTGGGCGGCTCTTCTCTCAGGATGTGATCAAAGCAATGGCCTCTATCAATGAGCGACCCATAATATTTGCACTAAGTAACCCTACAGCGAAAGCTGAATGCACAGCAGAGGAAGCATATACGTTAACAGAGGTATGTAACGTTTAGAAATGTTGACCTATTGGCACTTAGTGATATTGCTGCTTACTGAGTGTGAGAATGCAAGAACTCAAATTATTTTATTATTACTTGGACTTACTGACATAATAATGCAGATCTTTCTTGTCTTCTGGCAAAAGTAAATGGCGGTGATTTGAAAAGAATTCTTGATTTTTAAATAATGACATTCTGCAAAGCTTAAAATAGCCTAAATCTTGTTAGACTTTTTAAAAGAATGACCACTAGGTACTGTTTCACAACTTTGATCAATTAACAGTTTCCCACCATGCTTTTTAATTATTTGGGGTTTTAAAGAAACATCTTATGTTAACATCGTAATAGAGACTAGGTGCAACCTTTAAAATGTAACGGCTGAGTGAAGTCCTTAAAGCAGGTAACGTCCCTTCATCAGTCCAGGAATTCTGTTTTGCACTCAGTCATTTCCTAGTGTCTGCAGGTCAGAACTCGTATCACTAACAGTGACCCATGAAGACTTGTGCTTCCAGTGCAGGAGTCGGTGGTGGCCCTCTATCCTCGAGTTCTGCTCTCGCAACGCTGGCACCACCAAACGTTGAAATGAGTGAACGAAGACTAAACACACCTCATTCTGCACTGTTACCTCAAAGCCATGACACTGTGGGGTGCTTGCAGGGGGTTGGAGGTTGGGGTTTTGGGGTGGTTTTTTTAACAACACTATCACCAGTGCATCCAGAACTTGGTTTTGCCTTTAATGAAGCAAGTCTTCTATCCTTCTGCACAACTTCTTATATAAAACTAATCATCTTTGAAGAGAGCCTGAGGGAAAGGAGGTGAGGGCAAGGGAGCATCAGGCAGACACAGTGCTGGCTTTAACACTTTGAACTGGCTGGTAATGCCTTCCCTTTACATGGTAGACTCCAGCTTGCTGTGATCTCTCCCCTGTCCATAGGGCCTGCCTGTAGACTTCAGGGGTGGGGTTCTCGAAAAGACTTCTTTTTTTTTGTTTGTTTTTTTTTTTTTTTTTTTTTTTTAAATACAGTCCCAAATCAAGTGACTCATATGTGAAAATGAGTGGGTGGAGATCTTTCCTTGTTTCTTGATGCAGAACAATAACTCCTTCCTTCCACTGTTAGTGTGGCTCAGTTTCCAGCAGTACAACGTCACTGGTGTTAGCTTCACACAGGGAAGGGTAGAACTGCATCATCTCCAGTTGGCACGCAGATTCTCCTCCGTGTTACTAGGCCCATCAGCTTGGAGGGAACTCTTGCTACAGAGATTTGCAGGTCCAGAGTGAGCCCTAGGCAGGAATTACAGCCTCTGAACAAAATCTAGACCTTAGCTTTTAATAGTAAATGAGAACGCTTTTAAACAAAGATGGTTTAATATCTCTCGGGTATCTTGCATTAGCCAGAATAGTGAGTTGGGCCATGTTTCAGTATAGAGAATTAAATCCCAATATCTTGGATAGAAAGTGAACAAGAGTTAGTTATACAGCCAAGCCTTTAGCTGGCATAAATAAATGTAAAAACTACTGGCATCTCTGATGGCTGAAGGAGGCCAGAAGCACTATTAGAGGGAGAATCAGCCTAGTTTTTGCTTTCACTTTTTATAGAATATCAGCAGAGCAATAGATGTTTTAAGGGAAGAGGCTCACTTGTTCCCCCTGGCTGTGTGTTGAGTCCCAAGGAGTTGGACCTCAGGGTAGTTGTTGCTATCAGATGCAGAAGCAAGACAGTGCTGGTTACATTCAGGTGTGGTAATGTGTCTTCACTGAAGTAGCTGTATGATCATAGTGCTATTTTAAAAGTTTGTGCCAAATGGAGAGAGGATTTATAGTTTTTTCTGGTATTGGATCCATATGTCTTTTTATTTGTCCACATGTCCAAATAAATATTACTGGTCAGTAAATGAATGGGTGTAATTTTATTCCAGTCCTTATTAATAAATTTTGTAATGTTTCTGGCTCTTTAGACTTTTCTCCATATCTGATGTTTGTTTTCATAATGCTCTTTAGTTTTCTGAAATGTACTCAATTTACCCATAGTTTGCCCTTCAAAATGTGTAATATTTTTCCCTTCAAGATACAGTAATTACTAGAAAATCCTCTGTGACTTTACTTACTTTGTTGTTTAACTAACGAAGTTTGTCAGGCAATTAGGGGTCAGAGCTGTTAGCCCCATGTGTCTCCCGGCCTCCAGAATAGCCTAATCCTGGTTGGTGTGAAATCTTAGGCTAAACTAGCAAGTCAGTAAAGAAATGAAGGTATCATTGCTAACCTTTTATTCTTTATTCTTTTTCCACTAGGTGGCACCTGTAAAAGCACGTTAGTGCCCTCTGCCACTGTGTATTGTGGGGGCTTTTGTTGTGTTTTATTTTCATTGTCTTTTGGTCCTGTCCTCAAATGCATTCATATGTTTTGCTCCATGCACAAAAAGGCTATTATCATGGGTATGCCCTAACATTCAAACATAGTTCCTGAGTCTTTAGCTTCTTTGTTAATTTGTTCTCAAATGTAGTGGTCCTGGGGAGCCTTAAATATTTTAAAATCATGTTTTAAACCTGTTACTCAAAAGAAAGTCAAGATTTTTTGCTTACAGGGGTTTTACTGCTTGAGGAAAGGGTCATTTATCTGGAGAGTATATTTCACACTCCAAAGTCTGTATTTATTTTAATATTTCGGGCAGATTAAAATCCTTTTCAAAGGAAGGGTAAGCAAACTGCATTATTTACTCCTCTCGGAGCTCTCAGCAATAAAACTATGATACAGCAGTTCCTCCCTTCACCCTCCCACCCATCAGTAAACAAGTGCCCTTTTGTTACTGGACTTCTATTTCAGTCTTCTTTTGGAAGTGGCCATTATTAGCTGTCTTTGTACAGTCCTGACAGTGCTGGGTCCTGGCTTGTGGCCATGGTTCCTGATACATCGTAATGGTTATAATAATGGTTAACACACAAGTACTTTATTCTGTGTGTGAGTAGTTCCTCTAAGTCATAGCTGTCTTAAAGAACAATGAATGATAAAACAAATAGATTGCTTCCATTCCTTAGAAAGCTGCACGATTCAATGTGTATGCTTGCCTCTTTGGCTTTCCAGATGTTTGCTGCAGAAACATTGCATTTTCTGCAGCTGCAGAAACATGCAGATGCTTACTGATCCTTGTATCTGTTCCAGGCCCTGCTGGAAAGGGTGGGTTTGGTTGTTGTCATTCTGGGATTGTAGAAATTCAGTCAGCAAGGGATTTAAGTATGTGCTTGACTCCAGTTGCATTCAGTAGGGCTGTTTGCCTTTTTGCATTTGGCTGCATGCTCGAGTACCTTCCTGACTCAGTCCTAGAGCTGACTGGGAGCTGTAGGACTCTGGTGTCCCTGTATTTCATAATGACTGCATTGCTCCATACTGTTGGCTTTTCAGAAGCTGCCTGAGTGTGATTACTCCTCTGTTTAACAGGGCCGTTGCTTGTTTGCCAGTGGCAGTCCCTTTGAGCTGGTGACTCTGAAAGATGGAAGAACCTTCAAACCAGGCCAAGGAAACAATGCTTATATTTTTCCAGGTAATAAATAGAACTGTCTTCTCTTAATCTTTAAGACTAGGCTATTGGCACCTCTTCTTGGTGCCTCTTGCTACACTAGGCACAGTTAGTGAAGCAGCATGAAGAGGTGATACCAGCATTTAAATCTGAGAACAAAATCAGAAGAATGAATGAAAGAAAAATCAGTTAGGGATAGATGTTAGGCATGTGCAGCTACATATGCAACATGCTCACAGTGAGCTCCCCCAACTGTGTATTTCTAAGAAAACAAAAGGGTGTTATTAAAGGTGTTGAAAGCTGCTGCGTTATGGGTTCTTCTCCTTGTTCTGGGGGGAAGGAGAAAATAAGTGTCAGTGTGTTTGTCTTGAAGTTACGTCTGCGCAAGTGAGGGTACAAAAGAAGCACTAGGGATATTTCTCTGCCTTCCCCCTTCTCTCCCTTTCCTCCCTGAGCTCCTAAGCTCCAACCCTTTGTCAAAAGCCACCTATTACAGTAAATGACTAGCACACATGGTAATAGTTTTGTGAATGTGCATAGAAAGCTAGGGGAAGATTTTTAAAAATAACATTCTAGATGACTCGCAGCTTCTCGGCAGCAGGCTGCATATTATAAAACGATGTGGCCCTAATTGGCAATAATTTTATTGTAGGCGTGGCTCTCGCTGTGATCCTCAGCAGTGTTCGACATATTAGTGATAAGGTTTTCCTAGAGGCTGCTAAGGTAAGTGTGGAAGCAGAGTAGGCTGTGGCTTCTGACATGATGGTGGATGACATGGTGGGCAATTTCTCAAATCTTGCTCAAACTCTATGGTTTCCTGTTTGATTTCTGTTGGTTTTATCCCTCCCCCATGGGAAAAAAAAAAAGGATTTTGATCACACAAAATTGTGAAAAGTATCAGCTTCCATTGCAAATTTAATTTTTTCATCCAGAAACCAAACACCCAAATAGGAAATCTGTCCATGTGTAAATTGCCTCCCAGCCTCATTGGTCTGGCAGCAGGCCTGCCTCCTCCTCCTTCCCTGCTCTGGGTTCCTCAGCTGGCGATGGGGTCAGGGATGCACGTGGCCCCCAGGCTCCCGTCCTCTCCTGCCTTTCCACTTTGGAGCAGGAGCACGTACCACATTGGAGTAGCCTGTGAATCAACTGGCCAAACACTTGGGCAGTCCTGCAGGCGTGATGTGGTCTTATAACTTCCATGGTTATGGGTAGTTCAGCCTCCAAAAAAATAGGATCTTATTTTGCTAAATGCTTACAAGCAGAATTTGCTGATATGGGCACAGATTGAAGAGTTGATCTTTGAGAATTTTGAGACGTTGACTGTCCTATTCTAGTGCTTTGGGAGCACTCTAGTAGTAAGAACACTGCAACTTGTTTCTCTCAGGTGGCATGTTATTGATCCCATTCGGGATGCAGTAAATAGAACTTGTTTGTTTTTCAAACTCAGGCATTGGCAGAACAGTTGACCGATGAAGAACTTGCACAAGGAAGACTTTATCCTCCACTGTCTAATATCAGGGAAGTTTCTATTTATATTGCTGTCAAGGTGAGTATGAAGCATAAAAGTGGACTGTACTAAAAGTGTTCTATGTATACATTAACCTGCTGAATTGCATGGTATGACCCTTAAACACTAGGTGCTTGGGCACAAAATACCCAGTTCTTTGTGCCTTTAATAAGAGACACTTAGAAAAATGTTGAATTTGTCGGATGCTTCAGTTTGGCAGTGATGATGGGCCAAAATTATGCTCCTTTGATTTCTGAAATGAAGTTTTCAGATCCCCAGTAAGGCATTCGGGAATTGTAAAAAGGCTTTGGCGTTTGTCTTTATCCAGTTTGTGAGTCCTGAACATATTGCAGTGGAAGCGTGGCTGTTATGTGAATGTAGTAAAAGGCACAAACTGCATCATGATTTAACTTTTCAGGTTATGGAATTTTTGTACGCAAACAACATGGCTTTCCATTACCCTGAACCTGCAGACAAGAACCGTTACATTCGATCAAAGGTTTGGACCTACGAATACGAATCCTTCATGCCAGATGTGTATGACTGGCCTGAATCTAAGGTTCACTGATGCATCAGAAGATCACGCTCCTCAGGCAGTATCTTCTACTCTGCAGGGATCCCTTTTTCAGACCAATTTAAGTCATTATCTTTGAGTCCTGTAATTTATTTTTGCTCATTTTGTTGTCTTTTTTTCCCTTCTGCCCTCTTCTTCACTTGATGTAGATTTCTCCCCACTCTCCCGAGTACCTGATAAACTGTATGGATGATGGCATCTGTCACAGGAATGAGAGAGCTCTACAAAATTAATTTAAATAATGACATTGCATTTCTAGCTTAGAGCCAGCACCACACTGAAGAATTCTATTACTGATGTTTTAGCTACGTGCATTTGATGATGAACTATAGCTCTCTCATCACTGCTGATTTCCAGGATGATTTATTTCTGTTTTTAATAATCAGTCTTCTAATTGTCCTAGTGTTGTCACACTGCATTATCTGTGACATCACCAGAGAGCATTTGTCAAAAAAAAAATAAGGACAGCTTAAGACAAATTTAACAGTCTAATGGGCTTTCTGTTTTGTCTGATGTTTAAAGATGCCCATGACCAGACTTCTTGTGGCATTGGCTGCTGTTTCTTTGTGCGTTGAGGAGCAGTGTGGTCTGCACGCAGTCTGCAGTGGAATCTGCAGCAATGTTTGTATTTCATGTTTTCATCGCTGTGTGAAATCTGTTATCAGGAAAAATGTGAACTAGTTAAAATTATCCTTGGAAAGCCTGAAAATAATATTAATCACTTAATAGCTTTTAAAAACAAAGCTGTGCTGTTGCATAATAAATTCTATCATATAAAGGCAGGATCTGAAGTAATTTACAGAAATCTTTTAGAGATTTTACAAGGAGATTTTCTGCAGTGGACTCCAAGGTGATGTACCAAAGGATTTTTTGTTTCATTTTTTTTTTCCAAGGTTTTGTTTCTTCTAAGCTAAATTGTTTTCTCCCTTGGATACCCTTGTTCTCACAAAAAGACTTGTGTGTGATGTTTTCATGACATCGCTAACTCAAAAACTCTTAAATGGACTCACTTGCCACTTTGAACCCGCCCCCCCCCCAGGCAGCTGATGAAGCTGAAACAAAGTGTTACAGGCAGCTATGGACAGAGACATTTACAGAAGTTTGACTTGAATGTTTCTTGTGGTCTCAGTCCAGCATATTCAGTCCAGTTTGAATACAGGACTTGAAAGATCTAATACTTAGAAGCTCTAAGCTGATCACTTCATCTTTTTCGCTCCATTTACAGGTTTAATTTGTCAGGGGTTTTGTGTGAAAACAAAAATTGCGAGTTGAATTTTTCCTTGGAATGAATAGTACTGCACATTGATAAGAGACACCACAATGTGCATTCCTTTTCATTTTGTTCCTATCAGGTTTGAGTGCCCTCCATTACTTTGTATTAGCAAGCAAGGACACACAGTGATAGTTACAGTCTGTGACTTCTCTAAATCTGGCCTCTGTAACAAGAACAATGGTATGTCGGGAACAGAAATAAATATTACGTGCTGTTCCATAGTTTGCTGTATCAAGGCAAAAAAGGATTTAAAAAAAAAAAAAAGATAGATGTAAAAGGGCTATACTGGCAAACTTGAAGCCAGAATCCAAAGAGATGAAGTAAAGCTTGCTCGGGATTTACCGATGGCAAGCACCTCTTTCATATCCTCATTTATTTTGGAAAATGCTGTCTCCACAGAATAGGCCCAAAATAGAACAGGGAAAATAGTCTCTGTACCCCCTTAGACATGGTCTCTGTTGCTAGTCTGCCTAGTCTCTGATTTTAAAATTAAGTTCATGTATTAGATAAAAAGAACAGTAAACTTTGGGAAGGCTTTACTTAGTGAGGAAAGAAGACTGATTATATAAACACAGAAAATAGTGATGTGGGGAAAAGACTGTGTATTCAAACTGTGGTAAAGTGCTGTCTGGTGAGGCTTGAAATGCTACATTGCCAAGTTGGGCGACGTATGTGGTTTGCAACTTGTATATGTAAGTATATGTACAAAAAAGACCAACACACACATAATGATGTTTTTACAAAGAATGCTTTTTTTCATCTATTTTTGCTATGCCTCGTTTTTATTGTATTTAAATTTGTGATCTTACTAAAGAGTTATTTATTTAGTGTACAAATTATTTTTACCTTCTGAAAATTCAACTCTAGCTGAAGCCTGTTGCAGTGTGTCAGTGGAGTTCTGCATCATTGGATTCAAGTATATTGGGAACGCACAATTCCTCGCTTCTGCCAACATACTAATTAGGCAGAGGAGTAACAAAAATATCCCATGCACTGATCTTGTGTCCCGGCTGAGAATGATCACAGAGGCAGGGCAGTCGGTCCTTAAATACAACTCTGTCTTACAAAATAAAGATCTACATCCATCTATTCAGTCTGATTTTTTTTTTTTTTTTTTTCAGGCAAGAAGTGCAGTCATGGTCTATAATCAGTGGGCATTGATAGTACTCAGGAAAACCTGACACGGGAAAATGGCATTACCTGCGCGCAGCAGGAGTCTTGCTTTGGGCAAGAGTGATTTTTGGTTCCCAAAGGGAGGTCCTGCACAGGAAATTCGCAGTGGCTGCTGTCAAGCCAAGGCAAGGTGCCTGTTTTGTGAAGTGCAGTCCTTTCCCTTCTTGGCACCAGCTCCCTGCTGTCTTTAAGCAGATGCCGAGAGGGATTGTTCAGAACTAGCCAGCAGTGGGATTTTCCCAAGTACAAATGTTCCTGCATAATTTGTCTGGAAATCCCACTGCACAGGTGAGGAAAAACCAGTCTTTAACTGACTCGGAGGCTCCAGTTACAGTAGAGCCTTGCCCTGGTGGGGCTGCAGATGTATCGGAGCTCTAGAGTAGAGAAGGCCTGACTGTCTCTCTCTTAACCTGTCCCAGTTACGGCAGCTAAGCGATACCAGTTAGACTTCATCTGTGCATACGCCCCCGTGGATGTTGTTTAATCAGGTTCTGTGGATCATCTATAGCTTACAGTACAGACACGGAGGAATTTTACCTGTAATGTACAGCCGTTGTTTTCTGTTGGCAACAGGTAACATGTCAGCTCACAAAGTTTTAAGTGCATTTCACCTTTTTTGTTATTTTTTTTTAAAATATAAAATACATAGATTCATCTTTGGGTTTGTATATTCTTCAGATCTAATCTTTGAATTAATTACAACTGCTAATCTTGCCACTTAGTAAGGAACCACAGTATCCTTTTTCAGATTCTACTTAACCTGATTTTTTCTGTTTGCTGGCTTATTCAATAGCATTTACCAATCTTTATCTATACAGAAAATTCTCTTACACAGTATGCAAAGGGAAAAAGTTGTCACCAGAACACATTTTGTAATGCTACATAGCTTAAGTTAAGCTTACTCTGTTCCTTAAGAAATATATCACCTAAAAGATGACAAGTGTTCTAGCTTTGCACACAGCCCTGGTGACTTTTGCCCTCCAAATGGTATTTAAGTCTGTCTTCCCTGTCTCTTCTGTGAGGATACTATTCTGGATGTACAGAACACTTCTGAGAGGATCAGAAACTCCCACTGAATCTTTTCCAGGACTGTTCCAAGACTCACTTCCTTAAAATCAACAGGAGCAGGACTGAGACTCTTGGCAGCAATGTATAGAAATGTCTAGGGGAGGAGAAGAAAGGTAGCTAGGGGAGCACAGCCTTTTTTTATCAAGTATGCGTGTTCTTGTTCAAAGCTGTTACAAAGGTTTGTATGTTCCCAAAGCGTGTGCCCACTTGCCAGCAATTGACATTAGAGGAAGACTATTAAAATGTCGTGTCTGATAGATTTTAAAGCCCAAATGTGACTCCTCGCGTAAGTTCTTGGTTATGTTTGTGAACAGTGATGTTTCATGATGTTGTGTTTGTTTTCCAAGCTTAAAACAGCAACACTTTATGTGGAGATTGGTGTTTAACAGGTTTCCTGTGGTAGGTGTGTGTCTTCTCTGTACTGTTGTTTCCAGCATGCTGTTTTGCAGGAGGGGGCAAAGTAACCCTTTGTCACGCTCCTCTGGTAGTAACTGCAAAGATAAATGATACACCTTTTAGTTTTTCATTAGCAGCTCTATTTGGTGACTACTCCTGTAGGAGAGTGGGGATCACTATTGTACAGCTACAACTGTGAATTTTAGTTCAGCTGACTCTGGGCCTAAGTAAATCCAAGTTGTCATCTTTCATTTGGGGCTTGCTCCGGGTCTTCTTGACTTCAAAGGTGCAGATCTGAGCACTTCTGTCATTCGGATAAAGATATCTACGAGACTCTCAGATCGGACTGTAAGAACAGTACAGTTTGGACTCCAGTTCTCTTGGCTGTAAGTGCTACTCCTGAGTTTAAGAAAACCACTGTAGTTTTTGGACTCTCTTTAAGATGATGCATACTGCTATCCTGTTTCATAACAGCCGTACATAATCGGCAGGGACTGGTGTTACATTGAACACTGGAGCAAGGAGAAAATCTAGAGCAAAGCTCTAATTGCACCCACTTGACAGCTGAATTTGAGCAATGTAATTCAGTTGCGGCTGGTGAAGGGACATCTAATTCTGTATGGATCCACCTTGACCTACCTACCTGCTCCCGAAATACACATTACCATGGTATCGGAAAACCTGCAGACGGTCTGGGTGATCTGCGAGGAAAATCCAGCATGCTTTAGACCTCGGCTTCCTGCGCTCGCTTCCCGAATCACAGCACTCGGTGAGGATGCAGCTTACTTGTGCCTGCTCCGGAGGGAGATGTACTAACAGCTAGATGGTACGTGGGGAATCCGGTACCTGGTGGCACGGTGGACCATGGCTGCAGCTCATGGAAAAAGCTGTCTCGCGTCAGACGTTCGACTTGTGGTGCAGGAACCCTCTGGCATGCGTTTATATTCCCCGCACACGAAGCGGGCGCTGGATTGAACTTAATTCTCCCAGTACCTTTGACTTTGACTTACCCATCCTTCAAGTAGTTCCTTTCTAACAAAAAATGGAAATAAAAATACTTTTAGGACTATACAAACATAGTAAGATAGCCAGTTTGTCAAGAAATAAAATATCTATTTACATTTATTTCTATCTTGAACATATCTACCTTACACAAATAAACCTAAGTCTGCTGGAGTGTTTGTGAGCACAGTTCTAGCCTGTCAGTCAGGGGTTGACTTTACCTGGGAGGGTCGTTGCTCCGCTGAAACTAAAATTGTACTTAAATGTGAACTGGTTGGGGTTTTTTTTCTCCTTTATAATGTTGTAACTCTATTGAAATGTGTGTTCTGGTCTTCTATTTTCTTAGTAAAATGCATTCCCTTTGCCTAAATTAATTTGATTTTGTTTATTCTGAAAAAACGAACGCTTGACCTGTGCAGAATTGGTACACCATTGCCTATGTTACTGGTTATTTACCGTTTTTTTCCCTTTTGCCCCTTACACATGACCAGTGCCAACAGGCTGCAGGTGAGGCAATGGCGATTTTATCTCAAAACTGCCTTTCTCGAACACCTGGCTGTCCCATAGCGCTTTTAAAACGCTGCTTTGTAATGAGACTTGAGGATCTACACCCGTATTTTTACAGATAGATTGAAAAAAAAAACCAAAAACGGGGAGCTTGCCAGCGGCCTGTGCCATCTCCTGTCACAGCCGGGACCCGCCGGCCGCCGCCTCCTCCCCCCCCGCGGGACCGGGACCCGGGCCGGGACCGGG